TTTTGGAATAAATCTGCAAGGTAAGTTTTCGAATTGTTGTACATCTTCCGAATTCTTCATAAATGAAAAGAATGCAGTAAGTGTATAGGTCCAGGAATGTAAAAGAAGTTTTCATCAGGAATTAGTAGAAACCGTAATTGAACGCAGTAGGTATTCAAGAACTTTGAAAGTTTTGAACAAATGTGTAAGCGAAGCTATCAACTGATTAATTAAACATGTGTGGACGACGATAGGCATTTTTATACGTGGGTTAGTTTCTTGCCCCTGCCTATTCCGGTAGCGCTTTTTTGCTGCGTTTTTAACAAAATTTACCAAGACTAAGGTAGTTATTGTGCATTAGGTCAATGCATTTTGCAGTTTCTGCGACAAAACTAATGAATAAAGGAAGATTTTGCTCTACTAACTTAACCAAAAGGGTAGTATGACAAAAAGATCACAAAATCTAGTTCCTGTGCATTAAGTCAATATGTTTTGCAGATTCCCCTACGAAATTGGTACATAATTGAAAATTTTGAGTAAAGTTGGGCATCATCCCGAAGTGATTAAGAAAAAATCATTTCTCTCAAAAAAGACATAAACGGCTTTTACACTACTTCCCATAGTTGAGCTCTCGTCCCTCACACGACGGACGTAATAATCCATTTTTGAAAAATGCGGTAGTAAACATTTAAAAACTTACGCTCTCTGAACACCAACAACAGTAGATATCCATCTTCTTCAAAGTTCAAAACTTTCCTATAGGTACAAGTACAATACACTACGTGGCCAAACAGCAGATTAAAAAAAAGTTAAAAAAACACTACTATACTCACTAACCAAAAATCAAAATCCGTATTCGCGCCAAAGTATAAGGAAAGAACACCAAACGTTTCAAGAAACATAGACCAATAAACGTCCAATTGAGAAGGCATTAGAACACTAATCAGTGTTTAATACCTTTCATTAATTCGGAGGGAACATATTTCAAATTAGACAAAAGAATGTCAATTATCAAACATTCAAATCCCATTAAATTAGTCTGCTTTGTAACATAATAGATAGGGTAGGTTTTTGTTTGTATTGAAATAATACAACCGATGTCATTACCTTTCTATTTAATGGTAATCTTTTTTGGATATCAAAGGATTTCTTAATTTATCTTTAATTGCCCAACATTATCTTAATCTATTCATATTTTAGATAATATTGACAGGCGTTCATCTATCATTTTATTTGTAGGAATTTGTTGCCAAAAATAAAATTAAAGAAAATGAATTGTAAGATTTTTTGTGCGTTTAATTACAAAAGATAGCTTAATAACTTTTTCAACTTGAGCTCACTGTATGTACGGATAATCTTCGGAGTCGAAGCTTTCGAGATTGAATATTCCAGGGTTGGAGACAAGTTTTTTTGGCGTAGGATTTCGATAAGGTTTAAGGGCGAAAAGCAATAGTAGAAAAAAACGGAGACAACAATGGTTGCGTTGCAATCTATTTTTGCTTTCCAAAATTTTATGTTCAGTAAAGATAAAGATTGGGAGCTTTTTAAAAGGCATTTTTTTCTCGCATTTTATTAAGTTAAGACGTTTTTCCACATTACCCATTTTGCTTTATTTAGGGGCGTTGTATAGCAAAATTATTAAAAAAATGGATTTAGCCTACTAAAACACAGTGTGTTCAGTCATTTTTCAGATCTCTTCGTGCTTGGCGTTTCTTATATGTGATTAGAGGAGGAATTAGATGATTTTAAATCAAAAATGTCGTCTCTATAGTTTGAACCAATATCGACAACAAAGGTAACTTTCTTCAAAAAGGAACTTTTTGTAAATTTTATTTATAAATATCGAACAACCTTTTAGGTTACATATAATAATCAGCAAATAACTTTTAGAGTTCTTATGATTGCTTTTATCCAATGAGATAACATCCATGTACTGGAAGATGGATAAGTAAAGTTGTTCGCTTACGATCTCTTTGAACTTGTTGCTTATCAGATGTGATTCGAGGAAGACTTAGATGATTTTAAATCAAAAAGGCCATCTCTATAGTTTGAACCAATATGGCCAACCAAGGCAACTTTCTTCAAACAGGAACTTTTTGCAAATTTTACTCTGACCATTCTCCTAAACGTAGTTCAAAACCGCAGAACTGGGTGCGGACGGACGGACGGGCGAAAGAACAGATAACAATTGCCGTTTCTTGATATTAAAAAAAATATCGGATACCATTAATCATTGATGTAAATGGTGCAACTAGCTTTTTTCCAGAATATATGGGGTTGGTTAAATTGGCACAAGATTTGCAATGTATAGTGTGCTTAACGCAATTTATAATTTGCGGAATTTGCCATCAGAATGGCGGAGGTACTTTTTCTTACGATGGTCAATTTTATTTTTTTGGTTATTTAACTACAGAATTATTTTCTAGGTAACACAAAAGCACTGGGGTTACTAAAGTTATTCAGTTTTCAAAATAGTGTTTTGGATACAGAACACAGGCGTGAATTACTTATAATATAACCTATAAAGTGTAAACCTTACCTATCTACCAATATGTGGAAAACCGGCTTGGAATGATTATTATCAATTAAACCGTAAAAATGAACTTAATTAAATAATAATTAGTTAAGTTTAAAACATATCACGCTTTATTTTATTCGAATAAATCATCCTGGTAAAAGAAAATCTTTGATTGGTAATGACATTAATAAAAAACAATCTTTATTGAAACATTCCAAATTGCAAAATGACCATCGTGAGAAAAAATGATTATATACCGTTCTGCGATAAAACTAAGGGTTACGTTAAAAATATCATATTCAAATTCCTATTAAAAGATATTTTAATCATTTTATCAAATTAATGCAGCGGCTCCAATAAATTGAAGGACAGCATTGGATTGGTAATGTATCTGGAATAAACACGGTCATTCATCGGGTAGGTATTTCTCGAAAACAGAAAAATGTTTTTGAATCTCAAACTGAAAGTATGCTTAGTAAAGTAAATAACGTCCAAAAGTGTGGGTCAGGACAGGTAACGGTTCCCTATTGTCAAACCGCATTCCATTAAACAAATGGTCTGCGCGGGCGGAAATCGACTGTACTGTTGACCTTCATATATAGGTGGTGCCACATCGCATATATGATTCTGCTCATATACAGGTGCTTAAACGTAGCTTTATCTCATTCAAAAGCCGGGTGCCGGTACGTCGATTTGTATTTGGGTGCGTTAACGTCGATTTACCATATATATATATATATATATGCACAACCCATGTAGAATTTTTCCGAACATCTTATGTGCAGCAAGATGACGTCGCTTTTTTGTCCTAAATTGAGAATTCAGTTGTAAAATTTGTTGATTCCGCGGTTGATCCTCTATTATGTGAGAGGCAAAATCCGAGATGATATCATCAGTTCATATTCGCTAAGTTGATGTGAAGTTTGCGGGATTCCATCATATTCTCAAACGGAAAAAATAAATAGCTGAAATTTTTTAAAATATATGCATTATCATTTAAGGTGGAAATAATATCTTTAAGTACCGCCGTAGGAAATACTGTCGGATTTCCAAATTGGTGCTGTAGGTTTTTCTACTCCCATTACAACGGCTGTTATTTACGAAAAACGATTTTTCTATTCATCGATCTTCCTAAAAAACTAAGACCGATATTTAAACTTTTTTTAAGTACCGCCGTTCTTTTCATCATTACAAAGAATATCCACTATCGAGAATTTGTTAGACTTCAACTACAAAAGCAGCATTTCATAAGAAAGTTTAGCTATTTTTCCAATATGGCGGATTGACTACAGAGGAGCCTTAAGCTAACGGATTTGAGGACTCCGTCTCAGTAGACAAAAGGGTATGAAAAGGTCAGTTCCTTTTTGAAGTGAAGTTTCCCGGACAATGAGGTTAATGACCCACGTACAGCTAACAACCGTTAACGCTCAATGGCCTTCGGTGCTCAAGATCAAATTTAGAATCGGCTATGCAATACTATTGTTATCCTTTCCCGCCCCTACACGGGTAACATATGTACAAAATCGAAAAAAATTGGACCATACTGAAATGTACGGTTACATGACTAACAGAAACTGGAGGATTAAGGAGTTAACAAACAGGAACGTCTATAACGCCACCTAGACATTTCTTTGTGTTCTTTGATCACTAAATGTCATGCAATAAAACCTTTTCACGTCCCTCACACTGCAGATAGCCCAGCTCCAAGCGACATTCAAAGGAAAAGGATATACTGGTTTTTTTTGGTAAAAATTGTTGAATTCTGATTTCTTCTCGATAGTTTTAGAAATTTTACAGTTACTACCTGTCATGTTATCTGATTTATTCTCTTCCATAGTAATTATGGTATTCGTGCCTTAAACATTTCTATGGCTAACCTTTCATCGTTCATTCTGGTTAAATGCGCAATCCAGCTCGATTGCCTTTTTTCTATAACCTCTTAATTCCTTTACTACTTATATATTCCTTATGTTTTGGTTCATCTTTTTATTCTTCCGAGGTATCCCATTTCCATTGCCTTAATTTGCTTTTGTTCTTTTCGCTTAACGTCCATGCTGAACTTTCGTATCTTAATTATCTCCTTAGGGATTCCTTTTTTTTCCAAACATTTCTCGCTTTAAGCATGTCTTCCAACTTTTTCTATTCTGGAATTTATTTCTTCGTTTATTTTACCATTGTATTCCATAATTGTTCCCAGACATTCGAAACTTTTGACCTGTTCGGGTATTTCTCGATTAATTTTGTTCTTTAACCTCATTTTCCATTATCATCGTCTTACTTTTGCTTTAATTTACAGATTTATTTTACAGTTCTGATTGGAGTTCCAGGTAGAAAAAATTAAGATAGTGAATACAAAAGAGTGAAAGTATCGAAAGATAATTACATTGCGCAACGTAAACTAAAATGTGTTCAAATCATAAGTACCTATAAGAACTGATAATGATAAGACAAGCCGAAAATCATTAACTGTTTTAAGATAAATCTATTATCTTAAACCTCTTGACACAGGTATAAAATGCGTGTGCAGGCTGCCTCATTGACGAGTACTATCATCATGAATTTTAAATTTGTATTGGCTTCATTTGGTCTCATGTGCGTAGGTGTTGCCTCAGGTATGTAAAGACACGTTTATCATTTTTTGCACAAACAGTCTCCAATTGGAGGCTTTCATTTGCTGCTAGTTTACCACTCATGAACTTGTAAATACTACTTTAGTGCCCTCAGACTTGAAGCATTTACAATTAATATATATCAAAGGGTACCCACTCTTTGCGGCTGTGCTGAATACTTTTTAGCGCATTTTTGCAAATTTATTTGTAAAAAGTAGCTTTTAATCTCACTTTGGCTGGCTGGCTGGCTTGCTGGCTGGCAGGATGGCTGGCTGGCTGGCTGGCTGGCAGCAAATGTGGGCGCGTAGAAGAACTCTTGTAGAAAGGCAACGGGTGTACGTGTATCTACAGGGCCGTGAAATTTGTCAACCTTAGGGACATTACTACATGATGTGGGGTTGGCGACATCTGGGCGTCATCCTCGAGCGTAGTATACTAACGTGAAGGTTTTTTAGTTTTTTCCTATCTTCTACTACAGTTTTGGTCCGATTCTTTTGAAATTGGTGTCGTCGGAAAGATGTTGTAAACGCGCACAACTCCTGCGTGGCGGAATTTTGTTTTTTGTCATAGGGGCGAAATTAACGACCTTTTGCGAGGGGGCGCGCGCGTCTTCGAGAAGTAGTCAGGCGCCTTTTACCTTCCGTTGCGAACTCACGCGGTTTAACGTTTCGTAAATCTCGAATCGCTGTCTCTCTTTCTCGTGTCGCCAATAGAAGTGAATTGCGGGTGAACGGGACGTCGGAAGTGGGTACCGTAAAAGGGAATGTGGTAGCCCGCGACACGATCTCACTGATGGGGGAGTCAAATCTTCAAACGCGAATTGCTGGTGAACGGGACGTCGGAAGGAGGTACCGTCAAAGGGAATGTGGTAGCCCCCGACACGATCTTCCTGATGGTGGAGTCAAATTTTCAAACGCGAATTGCGGGTGAACGGGACGTCGGAAGGGGGTACCGTCAAAGGAAATGTGGTAGCCCCCGACACGATTTTCCTGATGGTGGAGTCAAATCTTCAAACGCGAATTGCTGGTGAACGGAACGTCGGAAGGAGGTACCGTCAAAGGGAATGTGGTAGCCCCCGACACGATCTTCTTGATGGTGGAGTCAAATCTTCAAACGCGAATTGCGGGTGAACGGGACGTCGGAAGGGGGTACCGTCAAAGGAAATGTGGTAGCCCCCGACACGATCTCACTGATGGTGGAGTCAAATCTTCAAACGCGAATTGCTGGTGAACGGGACGTCGGAAGGAGGTACCGTCAAAGGGAATGTGGTAGCCCCCGACACGATCTTCCTGATGGTGGAATCAAATCTTCAAACGCGAATTGCGGGTGAACGGGACGTCGGAAGTGGGTACCGTAAAAGGGAATGTGGTAGCCCGCGACACGATCTCACTGATGGTGGAGTCAAATCTTTAAAAGCGAATTGCGGGTGCACGAGGAAAGTGGGAAGCGGTTAGTGAATGTAGTAGCCTTCGACAAGATCTGTTATTGATGGTTGAGTCGAAAGTGGCTAATAGAATACTGATCTGCCACACAAAAATGCGCTGAAGTCCCTTCGATCTCAAACGAGGACTTTGATAATTTTTAATGTAACTATTGTAAGTCGGAAACTACACACATAGATTGTGCTCCAACGCATTATTAACGGCCACAGGTAACTAATTCCGTGACCTCATTAAGCTGAAGGACTAATCAATTTAAGTGTCATGGATGTACAAAAGATACCCAGGTACATACATTCAATTAGGCCTTTACTGGCATAACTTTAGTAGAATATAATATGTAAGATAGGTTCTAAGATGGATCAGTATGGGCGATCGTGCGTGATAGGGGTGACATTCTGCTGATCAAACTCGCAATGAACAAGGGTTGGCCTTACAAACTGATAGTTAATCGTGTCAAATGCTTTTGAAAGATCTAACATCCCTATGATTGTCACCACACCTAAATCGGTTGCTTGTAATCATTGAACTGGAATGGCATCGCCCGTAAACCACTGTTGCAGGGACGTCGCGGTGACGAGAGAGATGAGTGGAGGTGCCAGACAAGAATGAAGATACCTACCACAGCCTATGTTAGGCGGCACGCGATTTTGGTTATCGATGCCCCTCCAGTTACAGAGTATACACTCGGTCGGTTTTCCTCATATTTGTACATAACAAAATTGTTCAGACCCTGTGATACAAAATAAAAATAAATCACTTGAGATATGGGCAGATTACTAGATTCGAATTCGCAATTAAAGTATGTAAAATGGAGATAGCTTTATTCTTGAAGATCAGAGAGATAGTAAACAAGTTTACCAACCTGTACGTATGTTATTCATTAATCATGATCTATGTAAATACTTTATATTTTGCGTACAATGCTCGCAAACCCATTTATTTAAAATGAATCGATTTCTCTTCTGGGGTATTGACATATAGGGATAATTCCATTTTGAAATTAATGTTAATTAATATGCCTTTCATTGCCCTCATATCGTATCGTATCGTATGGGTGGCACTTCCTAGGAGTGCCTTTATGTACAGTGTGAATATGTTGTTTATAACACTGAATATACATAAATATGTCAAGTTTGTCAACTTGTTGCAAATTTTTAATGATTTTGGATACCATAAAAACTTCTTGTTCTTTTGAAGATATATTCAGTGTTCCAGGCACCCTGTACTGTTTTCAAATTGATTACTTCAAACGTATTGACTCGTAGGTTCCTCCTCAACCACCTGCTATAGTTGCTTTGGTGTATACAACCAGTCTGCTGAAGACGTTATCAATTGCCGTTACTTTGTTAATATTACCGCAACTGACACTTGTTTAACAGCACCTGCATATTGCATATTTTATTACGGAAGTAAGTAATATGTTATCTAATACACGAATCTTAAAAACCTCTTTTTAGGAGACGCAAATTCCGTTGCCTATTCGGGGAGAATGTGTTCTCCCAAAGATTGTGATTCTCTTAAGGCAACGACGAGCGGAGGAAACTTACTGCACTGTTCGCAGTGCCAAAGCAACTATTGCAACACCGACAAATTTTGATCGATTGAGCATTAGACCAAGTCTGTATAAGGATTGTGAATGGTTTTGCATACTACTATGGGTCATTATGTTAATGTTCTGTCATATTTTTTATTATTTTTTTTGCCATTATCCTATACACTACAAAATGTAATAATTATGTTGTAATATACGTGAATATACGTAGTTACAGCAACAACCATTGGAAACCGTTTTTAGACACCCTATTCCTCCGTCGTCTCCGCCACACACATCTTGGAATGTCGCAAAAAGTGAAGGGAAATGTTTTTGGAAGCAAAATGTGACGGAAGCTTTTATTTTGAATTTAAATTTTTGAATTTTTTCGAAAAAATAAGTAAAGTAGAATTTTAAATCTGTCAACAATGTCAAGGTTCTGTGGTGGCTTCCCAAACGAATTTTGATAGTTATGATGTAAAGAATTTATCTGGTTGATAGCAGTAAACGAAATATATTTTTTATCTTAGACCCCCTAGGCACATAACATCACTGTTTGAGAGGTCTTTTTCGTATAATGTTTGTAAGTTATGGAATTCTTTACCAGATAACATCAAGAACATATCCTCATTCCCTCTTTCCAAATCCGCTAGTAAACAGTACCTATTACATTCTCAGTAAGCCACATTGACTACCACTACCTACCTCTTACCAATTGTCGGCAATCTGGACGTTTTGTGGACCAACCTAACTATATCGTAAATTTTATTTCTTTCTTTTAATTTTATTTTTCTTCCTGCCCGTTGGTGATTTTGGTCCAAGTGAAAAACCAGGAGTAGCGCTAGTGTCTGCCCCGAAACTTGCACCTTTTGATCATGCTTATGTATCCATAAAAAAAAGTTATTGTTTGCTATTTGCTCTATTGACAACAAAGACATTTATTACTATTATATGTGTTACATCCACGTATTGATATTGAATGGGGTTTTTTCTGTGAGGAATCGAGACTTTTTTTAATGGGGATATAGTATTACATCAATGAGCTCATCATGAGGTAATAATTTGAATGAAATGGGACTCGGAATTCACTTCGGATTTATAGTACAAAACTAACCAATGAAAAATTTAAATTTGGCCAATTTCAGGAATAATTTGTCATGGTGAGCGTTCAAAATGTTACTCGGTAAATGAGATGGGGAATTGTTTTTGGAGAGTTTGCCTGAAACGTTGGATAACCAGAGACTTTTTTCCTTGTTGTATCAGAAGTGGTTAATTTAAGGTCCCTTTGAACAGTTATGACTGGGAATCGTAAAGTCAGTGTTATTTGCTGGAAGATGATTACCTTCGAATACCGCAATAAAGTTTCATTTTGATGTTAAAAGTGCGTAATGCAGTTTTCGAGCGAGAAGTTAAATGTATACTCATTAAATTTCTCGAAGGACCATTTTTAGGTTATTTAAAATCACTGTATGAAAAAGACTTTTCGTTTTCTATAACAAATAAAGAAATTAACTTTGTGGTTCCGATTGTATTCAATAAATCCTATACTAATAAAAAAGTGGTATCAAATAAAGAAAGTTTCCTGGTAAAAAACAACACAAGAACACCCCCAACGATTCTTATCTTTGAAATTTTCCGCGGGGTCTTCAATTCCAAGGCGATTTGGAAACAGTAGATATATTTGTGTCGATATAATCATTGTAATCTAAATTGGGTCCGTTTGGTAAAACAAATTAAAAGAAATAAAAAATTTCTTTCGTTGTTTCAACTAAAGACCTATATTGATAAGTCGTTTACTTGGAAATTTAATTTCTCCTCATGTGTGAAACATTAAATTTGACAACTGTTTACTACCGTGATTCCGTCACTTCCTTCAACGAAACCAACCTCTTCTTTGTAAAAAAATCCCCTAAATCCGAAAGTCATAGTCCTCCTAGTCGGAAACTTGTTTAAAATAGAGTTTTCCATAAGATACAAACTACAGTTGGACCGGAACGTTCATTTTCAAATGTTAATTAAATAATAATATTAAAAAAATCCAAAAATTCATCCAATCTTTTTGGAAAAACGTATTTGGTCACTTCTTTTGATAGAACTGCATAAGCAGTAAACGTTCCCGAGGGACTCAGGTAACATACTGGTTGAGAAGAATATGATCTTATAACTATTTAAGATATGTGGTTTTACATACCGAAAACATGAATGGTTTTGTTACTGGAGTATCTTCAATTTTTGCTTTAAAAACAAATGATCCAGATTACCATGGACTTCTTCCTGGACTAAATCACAACTACTGGCATCGCTACACTACAAAAATGTTCCGTTTCAAAACGATGCATTAAAAGTGAAATCGCAAGGTTTATTTCTTTGAATTCCGTGCAGCATGGTTTATTGGTAGTAATACTTTTAGTTTCGAGCCTAAAAATTTGTGAACTCAGAAATAAGCCTTCAAAACGGTATGCTGCTAATGAGATAGCATTAGAAAATGAACATGCGTTAGTACGATTGCCTCCCTACCATTGCGTTTTCAATCCCATCGAAAATATATGGGGAATTTGCAAACAACTTTATAACCGACACATTGGCAAGAAAGGTTATGGCAGAGAAAAGTGTTTTGTAAGGGGAATACCCTATACAGGAATTTTTTTAGATTGATGAAAATGCGGATGTTTCACTTTGGCCCGAATTGGGATATTATTTAACTGTGAGGAGGCTGAAAGGGAATGAGCAATCTAGAGTATAATAATCGCGGTTAGAAATGCAAATTGCTACATGTCTACCGTCTACCGTCTATGTAGCTCGCTGGTAGAGCGTCGCGTTACATAGTCGGAGGTCGGGTGTTCGAATTTTTCATCTGTGGCAGAGGTGGGAATGTTCTAGTTTTCATTAAATCTTCGATTACAGATTCAGAGTTTTCTGGCTTATCTTCACAAGAAGCAGTGATTAAGGGATTAATTATATTTTTTCACGTTCGTAAAATAAAGTACAACATTTTCCATCAATTTGCGTTCATAAAGGATGCGTTTGTTTCGTCCGCTAGTAGCGTGAAAAAAAGTGCCGTAGCGAATCATTTTTTAACGCATTTGAGTGACAATTCAACTCATGTATAAAAAATCGCATAAGCCGCAGTGCAATTGTCACTTTGACAGCGGCAAAAGTTACCTGCAACTTTTCCAGCGACAAATGCACTAGTGGTTTTTTCACTTATTCATTTTCGAACAAATTATCGCATTATCCTTTCCCATATGGCTAGTTTGACGTCTGTCAATAATTGATTAGTTTGGTGAATTTCTTGTTCGTTAAATTGTCCTGCCGAATTACACTCGAGGTTTGTATTTAAACCGAATAAATTTGGGTTGTGGCAATTCAAATCTGTTTCCTTTTAGCAATTGGACTCGAAAAACTGTCAACCTAAAAAACCTAAAAATGCTCCACCTGCGGTGTCGCATTTTTATTAGTTGACAGTTTTTCTCGTCTAATTGCTAGGCAACAGATTTTCATTACCTAAACAACCCAAATTTACTCGGTAAAATACAAACCTCTTGTGCAATTATAAGTGAAAAAAAGTAACGTAACGTGTCATTTTTTTAACGCAAACTATTTAGACAAGAAACATAGGAGGCCGCCGTTGCTATGATACTCGCTGACATTTGTTAAAATTACAAAGTACGTATTAAGTTCATCTCGCTGTGTTTTGTGTAATTTGTGTGCTTGAACGATGGAAATGGACAGTGATGCGAGTTTTTCATGCACCCCCGACGAAATTGTGAACGCGGCAGGTATCGCCACCTCCAATCTGTTACCCGAAAAGTCCAAGGACCAATATTTGAAGGAATATGATTTATTTATGAAATGGAGAACCGAAAAACACGTTGGAAATTTTAGTGAAAGGGTGTTATTATGTTATTTGGAAGAAAAATCAAAACAATGGAAGCCGCCAACACTTTGGTCGACCTATTCTAAACTAAAGGCTACACTGTTAATCAATAATAATGTAGATATACGGAAATACTCAAGTCAAGTCGGTTTATTAATAAAAAAACTATTTATAATAGTTATTTACAAGTCAACGTATCAATAGGGCTCTAAAAAATTATTATTTGACGGTAATACCTAACAGCTCGGCTTCGGTGTAAAAGACACCTGACGTAAGAAAATCCTTGGCCCTTTTCTTGAATTGTGAATACGTCGCAGCCGATTTTACAGATTCGGGAAGAGCGTTATAGTAGCTAGCCGATTTATATTCTGGTGACTTCTTGTAGAACGAGTGAGTTGGCTTATCCAGTCGCAGGCGTTCCCGGTGTCGAGTATCATAATCATGTACGTCTTTGTGGGTCATGAAGTGATGTTTGCGTCTGTTCACATACGAAACACAGTTCAAGACATAGATCGAGAAGAAAGTAAGAATTTTGTAATTTCGAAATACAACTCTACATGTTTCGTTGTATTTCAAGTTAAAAATTAGACGTAACACCCTCTTTTGTAAAATGAATACCCGTTCCCAGTTTGACGTGGAGCCCCAAACGGCAATATTATAGCATATGACAGAATGCACCATCGCGTAGTAGGCACTTAACAAAGCACTTTCACTTAATGAATTTTTCAGGACCATGATTAGATAATGCGCTTTGCTTATTTTCTTACACACCTCATCCACATGATAAGTCCAGGAGAGAGTCTCATCTACTAGCAGGCCGAGGAACATAGAAGACCTTAAACAGGGTATATTGATGCCGTTGATTGTGAAATGGAAGTTATGCCGATTGATTATTGAATGCCTGGAGTGGATTTCGAGGAAGGCAGATTTATTGTAGTTGATGATCAAGCCGTTTTTGATGCACCACGAGTCGAATTGGCGGAGTACTGTTTGGACCTTGTAGAAGACGGATTCTGCAGAATGGTCGCTCACAACAATGGTCGTGTCGTCGGCGTAAACAAATGTCATGCCAATTGTTATGAATTCGGGTAGGTCGTTAATGAATAAGAGGAAGAGTAAAGGGCCTAATACTCCTCCTTGCGGCGTTCCAAGGGATATCTTTGTTATATCAGAATACGTGTCCTTGATTTTTACCTTCAACGCCCTGTTAGTAAGGTAGGAGAGTACTCAAAGCTAATTGCTTAT